AATTCTCCTCAACAACAATACATTGTGCAGGCTTACTCTACATAAAAGCTTGTGGAAAAAAACACACATCTTGTTAAGAAAATTCCAACCAAAAGTTGTTGGGATTTTACAAAATTTTGAAGGAAAAATGTTGCCTGCGAAGTTATTGAGAGTTTCTGTTGTCTTCAAAATCCAAGAATGTGCTGGATACAAATTCTATTTTTGTTCTCAAATTGTTCAAAATCAAATTAGAACACACAATACTTTCATGGTACTCTTCTGAATAAATGTTACAAACTGTATCATGAAAGATTTAAGTACCTGTACGAAAAAGCACAACCGTTAAGAAAGATTTCAGGACATGTTATGATGCTGTAATCTAAAAAAAACAGAGTCTTCCACAAAACACTTTTCAGTTTTTCCTGGCCAATCCATCCATGTGAACACTCAGACAGACCGTAAAAATTAATCCACCACATAAAATAGTTTTATCAGTCAGCAATTTTCCACGGAAGGCTATCACCACATCTGCTTTCGGACAGGGCGACAAAGCTCGCACTCATAAAAAGCAATTTCAAGGCAGGCTTCTATACAGAGGTTCTCTGACCGCGTGACCCAAATGCTTTACTGGCTGCTCGGTAAGAGATAAATCCTGGAAGGACTCCCTATTCATCAATGGTTCTGGGCAGGGCTGGGCCTGAAAGGGCCTCCTTAGGTGGTCACCAGGCTAAAGGAGCATGATGTTCTGCTGCCATCTGGATATGCTGCTGTCAAACAATCGAGGTAGCCTCTTCCCAGGCTCCGTAGGGCACCAGAAGAATTGTTTAATATTTGGCTTTATCATATTCAAGTTTTATTTGCAAACTTATGTTTGAAGGATACAGCAAGGGAACACAAAAATATGATAACATAAAAAAAAATTTTTTATGTCTAGTCTACAGATTACTGTAGGGTTTGAGATATCTTCTTTGGATCCAAATTGGCTAATAAACAGTCCCAAATTTAAAGATGAAAGTCAGTTTTGTGATCTTTGTAGAAATGTAATTTTAGGTAGTCTTCCACTAATTTGCAAGAGGAGTTATCTGGCCAAGAGTTAACTAAACTATGACTTGACATACAAAATTGATGGCAACTTCAGTAGCTAATTTGCGTAAGATCCATAGGTCACACAAACACACATACACAACTCTCTCTCAAAGAAATCCTTGCTTTAGTGGAGCAGTGAAAACAACAACCTATCAGATGGTAGGAGGGGTAAGGCTGGGGTCAGTGTTGTTTGATGGTCATATTTGCTGGGGCATTAGCCAACACAAAGGGCTGTCCAGCGCACCGGACTTTGAACACACACGACTAGCCAGACTACCTTGCCGGCATGAGTGGTCATGTTAGTTTTTACAGTGCAGCTGTGCTAGCCTGGATTCTAGTTTTACGTCACGTATTTTGTTTGAGCAAAGCAACCAATCATTCAAGAGGGTTAGTTCAGAAAGGGTAGGTCTTGACTGTTCCGAGTGTGGAGCTTTTGAAAATGTTACTTGTGAGAAAGAAAGTTGGCATTTTAAGAGTACCCAAGGGGAGACATTACAAGACAACATGTTTTTACCAGTGGAAGAATTTGTGTCTGGGTGCAGTATCATATCAACATTTTTTTTTACGTTTCTCCTGACATTATTACACAAGCAAATAATACCAAAGTACCAGCAGACTAGTTGGAAATAAGCATAATAGTCCTCAATTTAGCGTGGTGGCTGCAAATAATACCGCGATGTCCCGATACGCTAAGACGCACAAGCTAGAACCCTGCACACAATGGACAAGGGTCTTTGCAAATTGTCCAGGCTGGTTTGCAGCTAGTCTTCCGTTGTGCAAGTTCCGAGAATGTCACGCAGACAGGCATGCCGTGAGAAAAGCCACTTGTTGCGCTCGTCGCTGCCCAACTAATCAGGTGTGAAGAGTGGGTGACCTTGCACGATTTCACAGCCTCTCCACTACAACGTTAATAATTTCTCTTCCACTTTGTGATGATTTAGTTTGACTTCAAGAGACAGACAGTCCGGGCACAAGTTTCACAGTCTGTCTGCTACATCATTGATAATTTTTCTTTACAACCTTTCTTTACAATCAAGGAATTAATATTTTTAGTAGGTTGAGGTCTCTCGCATCGATTTTAGGTTACCAATATGAGAAAACTTGATAGACAAAGAAATTTCACTGTCTCTCTCTACATTATTGATAATTTTTCTATTTTCTCATGTGCCAAGAACCTTTGTCCACAAGCAAGGAATCTATCCATTTTAGAAGGTTGAGGCCATTCAGCCTTGATTTAGGTTATCACTATCAGACAGTCGGTAGACAAAGAAATTTCACTGTCTCGCTGCTACGGCGTTGATAATTTTTCTCTCCCTATGGGCAACAACCTTCAGGTACGGCATCTATCCTCCTTACTAGGTTAAGGCTCTTGATGTTGATTCAGTTGGCAGACGTACAAATTTCACTGTCGCCCTGCAAATTTCACAGACTCTCTGCTACCTTGTGGATAATTTCTCTCTTTCGGGACAACAACCTTCGGGGGAAGAAATCCATCCTTCTTAGTAGGTTAAGGCCTCTCAGCCCCTCTAAGATGTTGACTTAGGTTAAGACAGTTGGTAGACATATATCCGGTCAGACTTTTTGCCCAGACTAGACAGGCCAGTGGCGGGGTAGACTGGCTGGCACCACCGTCCATACCAACATAATAGACATCCATAAAAACAGGTCAATAGGAGTGGGGGCAAACACACACACGTAAGCACGGCCCACACCCACCCGGCAACCCGGGGCGACGCCCGACGACCACAACACGGGCAGACGTGATACGACTCGCCGTAACCGGATAGCTAACCTGCGTCTGACGTCACGAGCCCGACGGGTGACCCTCAGTAACCCCGAGTTCTCTCATTACGCATACCGCCCCACCTAGGAAACCAGCCGCATGCTTCAGCGAGGAAGGAACTACATAGAGTCGACAAAACCGCAACCGCAGGGTACATAAATCTCACATTAACCCCACCACAACGTGTGTGTGTGTGAGTGTACCCCGGCTATTACGAAAAGCTGCTCTTCCACAATTGCTCCGAGGCATGAGATATTGCCTTCGTCTCATACATTTCAAAATTCCTAGACCTAGATACATGCGACACATAAGACTCACACCAAATTAGAAATTGAAGATCAAACAAGGGTCATACTAAGTAGCAAATGAAACTACAAGAACCAGCAGAAACTTGTTAAAATTGCCTGAAATTTCTTTAAATTGCTCAGAAGGCATGTGACATTCTTTACTATACATTACTGCAATGTACCTTACACAAAGACCAACATCAAATCGAGATAAAAGACTTAAGAAAAGTCTACGGGAATACAAAACAGCAAACAAGCCTACAAGAACTGGAGAAGAGTTGTTAAAACTGCCAGAAAACCGCCGGAAATTGACTATGCTTAAAAGAAAGCAGAAAACGTGAGTGGGGCTCCCATGCTGACATGCGTGTGGCTTCCCTGGTTGCGAATATTGCCCCGTTGGCTCCTTGCCAGGTCATCGCTGGTCACATGGCAGTTGTTTACCACCTCTCCACCAAAAATACCACCCTCCTGCCAGCGATAACTACTTCCATCAGTGCGATCCCTCACTATTTAACCCATTTAACGTACCAATATGTAAATTTCTGTTCTTTCATACGGACTTTTTCTCTTGGGATCACTAACTGAAATCTCCAAGACCAGATTTGAATGTTAAAAACCCACAGCTGCCATTTAAATGAAGTCAACGTACGAGAAAACGTCGTAATGAATGTAGGGACAACACTAAAGACTGGGAGGAAATTGTGTAAATTACCGCCTATTTTTGACTGTAGTTATGAAAGGACAACGTAACATCATTATGAAGTAATCACGAACAAGAATAGCGTTTTCTTCCGTAACAAAACGTCACCCGAGCGGCTACTTGGGCAGTCTGCTCACGCCAGGCTTGATTTGTGCAGAAACAAATCAATAATTATCCAAACCCCGAAAGATATCGGGCGATCTTTCGTGACTTAAGTTGTAAAATGCACACAGAATACTCAAGAACAAATGTCTAAAACTATGAAATAAACCCAGAAAAACTATCTATACTTATAATGCAATTATTAACAGATTTTTCCAGCCTAGTACATATAACGTTACATAAATACATACATATAGCATCACACATTTTGTGAGGTGTGACAGGTAAAAAATTTACTTCAAAATGTGTGATAAACAAAAACGTGTTTCTTTTACATCTATTTTGATGCAGACAACTTCCAAGAAAAGAGGATGCTAGCGTCTACCCAGGAAATGACAAAATCTCTGTTTTTCTAAAAAAAAATGTACGATGTGTTTCTCCTAAGTGTTGTTGTTTATGTTTGTGTTGTAACCAAGAAAACACAAGAACAGCTCGCGTGAACTGAGGGACAGTTTGGAGTCGATCTGCATAATTATTCGGGACAAACATCCGGCTGGCCCCAAAACATCTTGTGCATAAATTAACCGGGCAGCGATGTGTATTGCAAAAACAGAAATGGACTTCAAAAACAATCCGGGTTTTCCACAAAAAAAACTTTTCCAGATGGTCGATCTCAACAGTGGTGTAGATTTGGAGTGAATTCTGTACGGAAGTGTGTATGTAAAAGGATGGATAGAGAAAGAAAGGGTTTGGAAATTGTAGGCGGTATATTTGGAGCAGACTGTCTAGCCGGCCTAATTATGAGCTCGGCTTTTAGCATCGCCGGGCCAGACAGGGATGTGTATTCGACAACACGGGATGCCGTCTGCCGAATTTCACCTCATTTTTTCATCCAATTTCTCTCATTTTCACAGAGAAAAAAATATGTTTTGGCTAGAATATATGAAACGTAGCAAAAACTGATGCACCTGGTTTCCAATTGTGGATTATTTTGCTACAATTTGTAAAATTGACGTTGGGAAGTGGAGGTGAACAAGGTGTAAATTTATAAAAGAAAACTCACCTGCTTCCTCTTGAAGCGGTTCATGAAGTCGAACTTGGCCTTCATGTCTTCCAGAGCTTCCTGGAATTCCTCCGTGTCCTGGTCTTTACTGAGGAGGATGTAGGACCGCCAGTTTGCCGAGTCGAACCCCCAGTGGCAAGTGCGATTTTCCTGTGCCTTGTGGCTGTGGCAGACGAACTTCTGCGGACTGCAAGTGTTGTGACAGTCCGTGCACTCGATACACTGAGAGAACGGAGTCTCGTACAAGTCCGGGTAGAACACGCCCTTACACTTGCCGAAGCACTCGTGGTACACCTTGAAGGATTTGGTCTTGTCGCGGGCCTTGTTGGTCGGCGCGGGCTGGGGAGGGGCGCCGCTGCGGCGGTGAAGCAGCTCGTTACAGAGCCTCTCTGCGTCGGTTTT